CAATCCAAGTTGCAGCAAATATTGGGTTTTGTTTTTTCACTGCTCAGAAGTATTCCATTCTGTATATATGCCGAAGTTTCTTTATATAGTCCTCTGTTGTTGGACACTTGGGTTTTTCTAGGTCTTGGCAATTGTTAATAATATTGCAATGAACATAGCTGTGCACGTAGTCTTTTGAATTAATGTTTTGTGTTCTTGGGGTAGATTATAAGGAGTGGAATCTCAGGTTCATATGGAAGCTCTATTAATTTTTTAGCAAAAAATCAAGAAGTGGAGTGATAAAAGCCTCTTCAACAAATGGTGATGGGAAAACTGATTGATCATATGCAAAAGCATGGATTCAGACCGTTTTCTAATACCATGTACAAAATTCAAATCAAAATGAATTAGAGACTAAATCCATAAGCTCTCTTGAGAAAAACATAGACAGAACACTCCATAATTGAAGTTGAAGGTATCTTTGTGGATTAAACACAATTGGCCAAGAAAATGGCAGCAAAAATAAACAAATATGACTACATAAAACTAAGAGCTTCTGCACTGCAAAGAAATGACAACCAAAATGAAAATACCCACACAAACTGGGAGAAAATATTTTCCCACCTCCCATCTGATAATATCCAAAATAATATAAAGCACTGGTAGAACCTCCGGGGTGGGGGGGGCGGAAGGGGAAACAACCCCATCAAACAATGAGAGGTGGGGGGAGAAATTAACAGAAATGTCCATAAAGAATGCATCCAGATGGCCAAAGACATGAAAAAATGCTCTCTGTCAGTTATTGTCAAAGAAATGAAAATCAAAACAACAATGAGATATCACCTCACACCAGTGTATAAACTCCTTTTGCTCTGGTGAGCTGTGAGAGCTCACACATTAACAGTTGTTCGTGGGCTCCCCAGGCAGCTCTCTCCACCCTTGTTCAGTGCTCTCGAACCACTTCCCCACCCAGGATGGCCATTGCCATAGACCAATGAAGGAGGAACGAGGGTCAAGCTGTTTGGTGATCAGTTGCTGTTTATTCCAAATCTTGTCTCTCCCAAGCTCTCTCCACAAGTCTGACAACTCTCTCCCCAACTCACCCCCAACTCTCTCCAACTCTCTCCCAGCTCTCTACAACCTTCTCTCTCTAACTCGCTCCTCAAAGCTCTCCATCTCTGGCCACAACTCTCTCCCTGACTCCGCAGCAACTCTGTCTCTCGCTCTGCCCACAGCTCTATCCCACCAACTCTGCCCGCCACTTTCACTCTTGCCTCTCCACCTTCCCAACTCTCTCCACTGTAACTCTCTCTAACTTGCTCCCCAACTCGCTCTCTCCCACAGCTCTCTCCCCCAACTCTCTCTCTCACTCTCTCTGCCGCAACCACCTCAACCACTTCTTCGTTAACCACACCTCCCAAACCATGCCTCCCCCCAGGAAGCACAATCAACATGTTTATCAAGCCTTCTTCACCACCTGCAGAAGGGCAAAACAGCACTTAAGGTGTGTTTCTCCTCTCCTTAGACCAGTAACTTAATTAACATCTTAATTCCACTTCTTAATATTTGCCATTCTGTATGGACACAGTAATGGACACATTTAGACCTGTAGGATAACTCTCCTAGGGACATCTCGCCACAGACACAAATTGCAGTGCTCAGGCCAGCTTAATCATTCCTAATCCTAGCAGGGTCCGAATCTAGTTATTACTTTTTGGATCATGACAGAATTTGTCCATGACCATACTCTTAACTTATAGTTTTTAAAGTATTATGTATTAAGTATTATGGCACTTTGTTCTGGCCATTTCGATGCCAGGGTAGCTCACAGCTTGCCCTTGGTCCATCCAGTCCCTCATTGGGACGCTGCTTTTGGGGATCTAGGAAGTAAGGGCAACTGAGGCTTAAGTCAAGAGAGCAGATGTCCAGGAGGTAATGTTATCTGGAGTCAATTAACTTCCAAGTTACAAAAACATTTCCTTTTAACTGTCTTCCTGTGTCCATACAAAAAGTAATTGCTCTGAAGTAACTAACCATGCAAAGGACATTAAGGAGAAGAGAAAAAAAATTTACAAGTCAGCAGAGTCTGATCAGGAGACAGAGGTAAAGGGCAGATTGAGGGAGAAGTCAACAAACCCCAGCTCCCTGCAGCCAGTGAGGAAGGGCCAACCAATGTTATCCTACATACCAGTGAAACTGGCACACACCTCAAAGAATAAAAACAACCAGTGTTATGTGAATGTGGGGGAAAGGACCATCATTCACTGCTGGTGGAAATGCCAACTGCTCCAGCCCTTTTGGAAAACAATGTAGACACTACTCAAAAAAAACAAAACCTCAGGAATTAAAATTCCATATGACCCACAAATCACAAAATCACAAATAATCCTGTTAATCGTTGATTGCCTCGAGCAGGCCCCAGTAACGTCTCCTTCATCCTAGCCCTGAGATTATAGTCAAGGCTCTTTAGGAGAATGAAACCCATCATTGTTACTGGTATTTGGCATATTGGGTATACCACGGGGAGTTTGCCAGACTCTGCCGTGTGGGCAGGCTACATTCGGTAGCCTGCCAGTTTGTCCAAAGTAGGTATGAGATAATAAGATGTCATAATAAGATGTCGCGATAAGATGGGGCCCCAGCGGCGAGGACAGTCAGGCGCAGGGGCAGCAGACTGCACTGTTCTTCTTCCGGGAGCTGGTTTTTATAGTCTCTGAGTCTTGGCCGCTGATGGGATTACACGGCGCCAGGGGGCCAGTTGGTGGGTGTGACCCCGCCTACTGGAATTTGGAGGATCTCTCCGCACACATGAAGGTACTGGCAGAGGAACAAAGTCACGCGGGTTCCGGGGCTGAGATCTCCAAGCCTACTCGGATTTGGGCCGAGCATCCTCCACCCAGATCCTCCAAATTCCAGTAGGCGGGGGTCACACCCACCAACTGGCCCCCTGGCACCGTGTAATCCCATCAGCGGCCAAGACTCAGAGACTATAAAAACCAGCTCCCGGAAGAACAGTGCAGTCTCCTGCCCCCGCGCCTGACTGTCCTCGCCACTGGGGCCCCTTGGAGGGGAGCGGGTTGAGCTTTCCTCCCCGCCCCGACCAGGGCTCCGGCAGCCAAAGACCTCCAGGACCAGCCACCACCATGCTGAGAGCATATGACCCAACAATTACAATTTTGGGCATCTACCCCAAGAGCCCAAAAACTCATTTCAGAAGACATCTGCACTGCTGTTTTTTGCAGCACTGTTCACAGTAGCTAAAATCTGGGAACAACCCAAGTGTCTGAGAACTGATGACTGGTTAAAGAAACTATAGTACATATACACAATAGAACACCAGTTGGCTGGAAAACAAGATGAAATCATGCAATTTTGTGCTTAGTGGATGGATCTGGAGAATATCATACTGAATGAGGTTAGGAGAAAGACAGACACAGAATAAGCTCTCTAATATATGGGGTAAAAAGGCCACAAATCGAGAATTTGTCTCTAGTGGGGAGCAGCCCACAGGGTTCGTGGAAGGGACTTTGGAGGATGAAGTGGGGACAATGGGATAATGTGGGTGAGAAGTAGAAACTCTATAGGAAGGTGTGGTACTTTAGTGTGGTATTTATGAAACTCTGCCAGTAGTATTATAAAACCACAGTGCCTAAAATAAATTTTTTTGAATACTTGCTTCCATTATCAATGACTGTATCTTGAAACTGATTCATTAATAAAATGAACCTTCTGTAACTGTGCTACTAAACAGATAGTGGAAAATCCTGTTATTTTAAAATGCACAAATACAATTTTTAATTTCCTGTGTTAGTCATATAGTCTTAAATATGTTTTAATTTTGATTAAATGATTTTCTGTTCTTTAACTCAGACCCTTTAGAAATTCATTTGATGATGTATTGGGGGGGGTCTAATTTTAATGGGCAGAAATTAGCCCTTTGAAGAGTACTTTAAAAACTGGCAAGTATCAGGCATAATTGCAAATTCTTTAAAAGAATCTATTTCTGTGCAATAGGTTAATTGGTTATAAGTAGACATCATTGGCTACAATTTAAACCTGAATTCTAATTTCATCCGTATATCTTTAAAAAAACAAATATAAGTGGATGATTGTAATCAAATTAGCCCCCTTGAGAAAACAATAGGCTTTTTATCCCTGATTTTCAAATTTTAAGTGTTTTTCTAACAGGCCTGCATTTAGCTTCCCACCAGCCTATCGCTTGCAGACTTCAAGTTTTCCAAAGTATTCAAAGCTTTATCTGTGGTGGGAATTCTGTAATAAAATAACCAACGTATGATTTAGCTTTATGATTTTTTAAAAGAATAATGGAAAATTTTAAGAAAACTAAAACCAAGACAGATAAACTTGCCTAAGGGGAAAAATTGGTCAGGGCCTGGTTCATGCAAATAATTGCCATAAGTCAATTACTCTTGGTAACTGAAACATATAATTATTAAAGTGACACAAACTGAGGCACTGTCCTCCCATTGATTTGCTCGAGCAATATGTCTTACTAATAATGTCTTACTAAATATTATTAAAAGGTAAAAGGTAAAGGCCCTCCCGTTGATCGTCGATTTGCCCGAGCGGGCCCAGTAACGTCTCCATTGGAGACTTTGTTGTTACTGTGTCTGGCATATCGAATACTCTCGGTAGCTTGCCGGGCTCTCCGAGAGGGGCGGAGGAATCGAACTCGGGTCGGCCATGTTGGCCGCTTGTAAGGCGAACGCCCTATCCGCTGTGCTATCGCTCCAGCCTACTAAATATTATTAAACAGCAAAAAAAAAATACTGAGAGGATACTAATTTTTTCTTTTGGTCTTACCCTGGGATTGTTTATCACAAAATTAATTCTTCTAGAAGCCCAAGAAGGACTGCACATAAAGTATAGCAAAGTTGATTTCTTAAAAATGTATACGTATACTGTGGATTTGTGCTCCCTCTAGATGAGAGGACTCTCCACATATAGATATGTTAATTTATATTTCTAAAGAATATACTAATTCTTTTTTTTTCTTTTAGTGGTGTAATCTGTGCATTGACTTAGTGGCATTTACCAGTGAAATATTCAAGGGAGCAGTTTTCCAGTCCTTGGATGGAATTATTGTCTCAGCTAACTGTAAGCTACGAAAGATTTTCACTTTGAAATCAAAGCCTCAAGACACTGCTGATAAAGATGGTATGTTCAGTTTACTATCAAGATTTTTCAATTTTCCAAATCTTTTGAAAATTAAGACATGCAAGACTAGTGCTTTAGCTCAACTGTAGAATGTCTGCCTTTCCTGTGCAATGCCCTAGGCTAGAGCCCAGGACCAAAAAAAAAAATTTTTTTTCTTCTCCTCCCAAGAGGGGGGAGAAGAAGAAAAAGCGAAAGTAGAAGAAAACAAGCAAAACAAAACGAAAATAACTAAGTAAATAAATAAGACATACTTTAGGACATAACTGAGTAGGATAGTATAAATACCCAGTAAATTTTTAAAATTTTATTCTGAAAAGGATATTTAACATGAGTATCTATGTCTGATGAACAAAATGTAAGTGTACAGTATGTTATGTGACTGGGTGCAAAAAGTTGGCCTGTAGGTATTAAAGGCTATAATGGATGGTTCTTTATCATCTTGACTTCATGCCCATCAATTTCATAACTCCCCAATTCCCCTGCTCCCTGACCTCTGGAAGCCATTTAGATTCCACAAATCTGACATTTCAGAATCCTCATGTAAGTGGAATTATACCATATTTGTCCTTATGATTTTTTTATCCCACATAATATATCTTCATGATTCATCTTTATTATAGCAAGTGTTTTTTGTTATTCTAGTTTATACTTATTTTTATTCTAACTAAATATACAAATACATGCTTTTGTGGTTATTTTAATTTTATTTATAATAGTACTTACCATTTGAGTTGGTCAGCGTTTTCATTTGCAAGCAGGAGCATTATCTGAAGGTCATAAAAACAAAAAATTGATTTTAGGAAATTAGTCAGTGCATAGAATATCAAGGATGTTCAGAAAATCAAGCGTGAAGCCAACAGCTAAGAACAAACTCAGTCCAAAGCAAGACTGCTCCAGGGAAAACCCATCATAGTTACAGAGTGATTTTCTGTCACACCATTATGCTGTCCTCTAAGTTCCAGAATTTCTTTTACTACCTCTCCTGAAATTGTCTGCCTTTTTTCCTGTCACCTTTACTAGAAGCAGATTTCCTCTGTTTTGCTCTTTCTGCTAAACAAAGACAGGCATTCTGTGTCTGAGATGTAGAGTCTAGGTTTTATACTACAAGGGAGCCTACCAAAGTAAATGTTTCATTCCTAACCAGGGAGGATTAGGGCTCGTTGTATATTAAAATCTCCAAGTTAGAAAAGATATTCTCAAAAGGTCATGCATCAAAAAAGTTTCACAGTTGCCCGCTATTGTACCTTACTACTCTGTATACATTTTATAACGTCATTTGCGAGAAATTAGATTAACATTAATTTTTACGATCATGTTAAAAATAAAAAGATAGTTGATATGCACCTCATTATTTCTAGAGAGACTAGAAATATATCATTGTCACTGTCCTCCCATTGTTCATCGATTTGCTTGAGTGGGCCCAGTAATGTCTCCATTGAGACAATTGTTACTGTGTTTGACATATCGAATACGCCACGGGTAGCTTGCCAGGCTTTGCTGAGCGGGCAAGATACTCTCGGCAGCTTGCCAGGCTCTCCGAGCGGGGCAGAGGAATTGAACTCGGGTCAGCCATGTTGGCCACGTGCAAGGCAAACGCCCTACCCGCAGTGCTATCTCTCCAGCCCAGAAATATATACATTAATTATTTATTTATTACATGGTAAAGGCCCTCCCGTTGATTATCAATTTGCTCGAGTGGGCCCAGTAACGTCTCCATTGGAGACTTTGTTGTTACTGTGTCTGGCATATCGAATACTCTCGGTAGCTTGCCGGGCTCTCCGAGAGGGGTGGAGGAATCGAACTCGGGTCGGCCATGTTGGCCACTTGTAAGGCGAACGCCCTACCCGCTGTGCTATTTTACTTTTGGTAACATACATATAATTTATAAAGTGACACAAATTTTTACACCCACCAACTACCCCTGGCGCTATGTAATCACAGTAATGGCCAAGATCCAAAGACTATAAAAACCAAGCTCCTGGAAGCATGAGGCCGTATTCACGGTGCGTCCTCTTATTGTCTAGTTCTCGCTCTCAGGGAACCCGGCAGGCTACCGAGAGTATCCTGCCTGCACAGCAGAGTCTGGCAAGCTCCCCGTGGCATATTCGATATGCCAAAACCCAGTAACAATGATGGGTCTCATTCCCCTGACCCTGAAAGAGCCTCCAATGTGGCACTTGCTAAAATCTCAGGGCTAAGATGAATGGAGATGTTACTGGTGCCAGCTCAAGGAAATCGATGAACAACGGGATGACAGTGATACAGTGATACTTTTGTTAACAGACATATAATTCATAAAGTGACATAAACTGTTACTAGATATTATTAAACAAAAAAATACTGAGAATATTAGTTTTTCTTTTGGTTTTATCCTGGAATTATTTATCACAAAATTAATTCTTCTAGAAGCCTAATAAGGACTGCAAATAATATAGCAAAGTTGATTTCTTAAAAATGTATCTGTGAACTGTGGAATTGTGCTCCCTCTAGATGAGTAGCTGCAAAATCCTTGTGTTATTCACTCTGTATAGGGCATTGTGCCTGTGAGTTTCATGTCATAATAAAATACAGCATGACATCAACAGTATCCCAAAGATATATCACAAGCCAGTCAAAGAACATAGCTGCTTCTCTTAGGTACCACTTAAAGGCTGTATGATAATGTGAAAGACTTCATTTGAAAAAAGAGCATGTAACTAATAAAAACCTCAGAAGTTATGGAAAATGAGTGATAGCACAGCGGGTAGGGCGTTCGCCTTACAAGCGGCCAACATGGCCGACCCGAGTTCGATTCCTCCGCCCCTCTCGGAGAGCCCGGCAAGCTACCGAGAGTATTCGATATGCCAGACACAGTAACAACAAAGTCTCCAGTGGAGACGTTACTGGGCCCGCTCGAGCAAATCGACGATCAACGGGAGGGCCTTTACCTTTACCTTTACCATTCTTTCCAGATCATTGTAGGTGAGCTTTTAACCCAACTAATTGTTTTAAATGTATAAACTAACAAATTAAATACATATTTTTCTATTTTCTGTTTGGGGAGGACTTTTAGAGGGGCCACATCCAACTGTGCTCAGGGCTTACTCCTGGCTCTGTGCTCAGGGATCCTTCCTGATGGCACTTTGGATTCTATTTATGGTGCCAGGGATCAAACCTATGTCAGCCACAAGGCAGTCACCTTACCCACTATAGTATCTCTCCAGCCCCTAAATATACATTTTTCTGATCCTTCTTTAAATACCAATATTATGGAAATACACTACACTACGGAAACACTCAGCTCCCGGGAGAGAACAAGGCAGAGTCTCCTACCGTGTGCCTGACTGTCTCCACCAGGGCCCAACAGCTGAAGACCTCCGGGCCCCAGCCAAGGCCATGCTGGCACCACTCTCCACACACTTGGATGAGCCTCACGCATAAAATGAACTGGCAGAGGAACCCAGGTGTGTGGGACCTGGGGCTGAGATCTCCAAGCCTGCACGGTTTGGGACTGGACCTGCCAGTAGCTAGACAGTTACACCCACCAACTGCCGTGTAACCCCAACAACGGCCAGGATCCAGAGATTATCACACTGAGCTCCCGGGAGAGAACAAGGCAGAGTCTCCTACCCTGTGCCTGACTGTCTCCATTGGGGCCCAACAGCTGAAGACCTCCGGGCCCCAGCCAAGGCCATGCTGTGACCACTCTCCACACACTTGGATGAGCCTCACGCACAAAAAGAACTGGCAGAGGAACCCAGGTGTGTGGGACCCGGGGCTGAGATCTCTAAGCCTGCACGGTTTGGGACTGGACCTGCCAGTAGCTAGACAGTTACACCCACCAACTGCCGTGTAACCCCAACAATGGCCAGGATCCAGAGATTATCACATTCAGCTCCCAGAATCGCGCGGCCGCATTTGCGGCTGCGTGACATCTTATCATCTCATTCCTACTTGGACAAACTGGCAGGCTACCGAATGTAACCTGCCCACATGGCAGAGTCTGGCAAACTCCCCGTGGTATACCCAATATGCCAAATACCAGTAACAATGATGGGTCTCATTCTCCTAACCCTGAAAGAGCCTTGAATATGGCACTTTTAAAAAAAATCTCAGGACTAGGACGAAGGAGACATTACTGGGGCCTGCTCGAGGCAATCGACGAACAACAGGATGGTCGTGATCGTGATTATGGAAATAAAAATTGTGCGCACCCATCAGGATGAAGAATGTGAGAAAAGGAAAATCAAAAGATGTTTATAAATTTTGTATGCTGACAATTGACAACTACCTTAGAAGAGCAGTGAAAATAAGCCTTTATGTTTACAGAGTATTCACTCATGAGATTTACAATTCAGAGTTTCTGTGAAGTTGAAGAATCAGAAACCCTAGATTTCCCAAAGACAGGTCTAAAAGGGCATCACTAAAAACAGGGAGATAGCTGTTTTGATTTCTGCAACTGTGTCTGATCCCCTGTGAACCACCAGAAGTGACTCTCTGATGATATTCAGAAATAGCCCTCAAGCACTACCATGTCAAAAAGTCTAAATAAATAAGAAAACAGGGACATTAGTTAAAATTCTAACTGAGACATCAGGTCTTATAACCAAGTATCACAAGATTTAATCTCTGAGTGAACTCAAGCAAAGAGCTACTGGTTTTGTTTTGGACAGTCCACAACTAGTGTTTCTCAGGGCTTATTCCTGGCTCTGTGCTCAGGTATCACTCATGACAATGCTCAAGGGATCATACGTGGTGCCAGCTAGGTATAAAGCAAATAAGTTAAGAGCTGCACCATCCCTCCAACTCAACTCAACCCAACTCAGATATACAAGGCACATGGTGATAAATAAAACTTAACAGGAAAGGAAAAAAATAAGGCAAGGAATCATACATGTTTTTCTCCAAGTTAAGAAACTGCATCTATAAGATGGAAATGATTTTATTTACTGCATTAATAATTTTCTTAAAATGTTTTACTGAAGTTTTTTTTTTTAATTTATGCACTATGATATATAAAG